TGTGCAACACCAGGCTAACAAACACTTCAGTGTGGTTCATGGAATTTGCCTAGATCTGAGACATCTTTGAGATAAGTGCAATACTCCATACAGCAAAAAGCAGCTAAATGACACACTCCCAAGGCCATGAGGACAGAAAAAGTTCCGACCATCTCTCATCAGAAGGCAGAATCAGACATAAAAACATCAGCATAAAAAAAAACCAACAAAAAAACACAACAAAAAAACAAAACCAGTGGATTATGCCTTAAATACGTGCACTGAACACACAGCCCTTCCCTCGCAGCACCCCACAAGCAGGACCAGCCAAGGCAAAGACACCAACTGGCACTTTTTATAGGGCCAGAAAAGCAGTTTGAGCCACTGGAGAAGGGTGTGGCTTGCGGGGCAGTTAGCAGGGCAGGGAACAATTCACCCACAAGTCCTATCTCTTGCCTTTCATCAGGAAAGAGCAGCCAGTTTCCTTATTACCAGCTGCCTGGGCAACTCATTTAAGCTTCTTGGGAAATCAGGAGCACAATTAAGCTGGGAGTAACTCCCCTGGAACAGGAAGATGCAGCACACTTACTTACCGGTATCTGACCAGCTCGTCAAATGACGTTTAAGGAAAGATGACCTTTGATTTAATGCTAATGCAGTCAATGTTCTTTGACTCGTTCCATGAGCGAATAATGATAAAACAACCCTCTGCCACAATAAAGGGCAACATTAAAGGCAAACTAAACCAAAGTTCAGCCCATTTATCAGGTTCACATTTGTTTCACCACCACAGAACATGCAGTGAACAGGCTGAAGGACTTCACAGCTCAACAGCCTCTTCGCTTTAAATCCAGCACAGAGTAACAGTCAGCTTTTCTGACCAAAACACCATTTTGCTGAATTCCTGACATGCCAAAAAGCCCCTGGCAGACTGCTGGGCTCCTCCCATTTGCTTGTACCTGGAAGGTGATGCAGTCAATGTCTTTTGGATGTTTGGTGACAGTTTCTGCACTTGAGCTTCTTCCACTCTTTGGACAACTGCCCCAGGTTGTTACAGCCTCTCCCGTTCACGCCACTTCCAAACCAGCATTTTGCTGCCTTTTATGAAAGCCTGGTGGATGCATCAACAAGCAACTGAAACGGATAGAGAAATAACTGCTAGTGGGTCATACCCTCACTTAGACACCTGAATTAGGAAAGTCACAGCAGCCTCCAAGAGTTTTTCAGTATAATCCTTTTAAAAATGAGCTTGTAAGAGCATAGGCAAATATTTACCCTCAATCTAGTTCTGAATGCATTAGCAGAGTGTTTCACAGGGAAGGCAACTGTTTCACTCCGTTTCCTGGGGAGGTTACTGCAATCCACCAAGGCTCCAGCAGTTAAACCCTCACCTGGACCAGCCTGCTCCCAGCAAGGGACCACAGCCCAGCAGGAAGCCCTCCCTGGCTGCTGCTCTCCCACTTCCACACTACACTTAGAGCTGCAATCTGGAGAAGGCCAGGCAAAGTACTTTCTGTTTTTACTTCTTCCCCTCCAAAAAATAAACCCCACAAATTTACAGAAAAAAACCCTTAGAATTTTCAATCTCTGAAGAACTTTTTCACTTACCTTATAATTAATTACGTTCAATCTTTTAAGTGCTGATTACAAAGTATTTTTTAACCATGTGCATTTTCCAAAGAAAACTGCATTACTTTTACCTCCAAGGAACACACCCGATCACCTCTTATTTTTACACCTGCAACCAATCTTGTTCACTAATATTTATATTTGTTCTTGATAATCAGGGAAACATGATTTGTGCTTGTAATTAGCACTGCCTGCAAGGAGAGGAAGCCTGATTCTAACGAATTAAATAACAAAACCCAAAAGCACAGCAGGGAAGGACTTTCTGGAACAGCATTAAGCCATCTTCAAGTATTAACAACAAGTATCTTTGAGCATGAACAGGCAGCTGGGTGATTTCAGAGGGAGCTGCTTAAAAAAAAACACAGTGTGACACTGAGCTGGAGGTAAGAAGCTACAGGCAGAGACAGGGAGCATGAGGTGTCCTGCTGGTTTGGATGGAGCCGAGGGAGTGTGGAACTGGGTGATTCGATCTGACACAGCCTGTGCCAGTCTCTGGGCTCGGCCTGGCACAGACCAGTGCGACATTTTTAGTTTTGCTTACATCAACAATTCTTGCCCTGATGGCGGATGTCATGGCTGCCAGGGAGAGGGGCACACCAGCACACTAATATCTCGCACGGCCTTCAAAGTACATTGTTGGTGAGGCACAACTCACAGGTCAGGCAGTGAGCAAGGAGGGAATTAAGAGGCAGGTCAGCTGCAATCCTGCCCGACCTCAGCTCTGATGCACATCTCTGAACTGTTACGCTGGCAATACGGCCAGCCTTCTGCTTTGCTTCCTATTTACAGTGTGCTCGTGAAAGCAGCGGTTTAGCTGCGTTCCTCAGCTCTGTATCAGCTCAAAGTCATCTTCGATGTTTAACCAAACATTAGTTGTTGTTACAAGGGCTATTACTTACTTCCATGTGATCTTCAGTAAGTCCAAGAAAAAAAGCAAGACACTTTTGTGTCTAAACTGCAAGAAGAATCAGCTAAAAATACAGTGATGCATGCTAAGATTTCTGCTCTTGCAACAGAGCTCACTGTGGATTTTTCTGACGCACTTTAAACTAAATGATTGACTGCTTCCAATGTGCAACTGAAAGTATGTACAACAAAAGGAAACTTTGGATTAAAGGTGCAAAATACATGTTTTCAGATGAAGTCCTAAAGGTTCAGGGTCATTCTTTGAAGCCACACCATGCAATTGCAGATGTATCTCTTAGATTCACGCTCACTGTAGAATGCTTGGGACAACAAATTTCACAGAGTAACAACCAAGCTCAATAAACAGAAAAGGAAACAATCCAGCTGAAACACCGGGAAACAGTTATTTGTTTTTTATTTAAGCAAACATAAAACTATCAATTTGCAAACCTCGTTGCGTTTGTGTAAATTTCATTTCTATTATTTTTCACCTTTTACCAAGTCTTACTATCTCTCAGCAGCTGAACAGGTAGAAGAAAGTAGAATGACCAGTCCCTTCTTTAAATAGTGTTAGAAAGCTTCAAAATAACAGCATAGCTTATTGGAATGGACACATACAAACAAGAGCTGCAGAACAATAGAGATATATATATTTTGCACTATATGTATGTAAACATTTATTGACATAAAAAGTGGGAGGAAGCTTTCAATTTGTCTAGTGATTTTTCAGTAGGCAAGGAGACCGTTAAAGCATTTACGAAGGTATAGTTTATTGGCTCGAGCTGTAGGAGGAGGGTTTGTTCTTTTTAATTATTGTTACACAGTCTCCTCATGTCAATCTGACAGCACACATGACCTCAGCATGGCACAAGTGCCATTTACTCTCACGAAAGGCCCTAAGACACTACCAGGACTGTGCGAAGTAAATGCCGGTGTCCCTACGGTGAATGGCAGGTTTGAAGGAAAAAAGCTGCCACTAGAACTGGGGAAAGCAGCAAACAGCTGTTTCACTAATCCAGGTATCCTGAAAAACTGAAACAAACGGCTATGAACTGCTGACGTGATCTCTTACAAAATTAAAGTTTTAGTGGACTGAAAAAAGTGAAGTATCAAACGCAGCTATCATTTTTTCTTTGTTACATTATTTTCAAAGAACATATTTAGGCCAAAAAGCAGAAAAGCTCCTAGGGCCAAGATTTAAGAAACGCTGTTCATCTTTTAAAAATCCACAGGGGCAAACGAAATTCATCAGCCTTTGTGCTTTTAACTATCTTGTGCCACCTCCCGCACTCAGACTTTTCGATATTTAAATTTAATCTAGTCAGCAGCTCTATGGAGAGAAGTCCCCACGGAAAGCCTCCCCATTCAGTAACATGTTTAAAGTTATATAAGAAGCATACAAGAGAAACATTACAAACCTCACACACAACTGAGATGAAACTTCAAAAGATGTTTCTTATGTAGACTGCTGCACTGTATGACTTCTGAACTCACTTCCATCTAAACTTAAAAACATTTATATGCTGTTGATGTTCAATGAAAACAGTTGGAGATGGATGAGCGAACGGTCAGATGAAAGATACCAAAATGTCAGACAGCCTACCGACTGTTGTTGCCATGAGATCCAACAGTCAACATCAGTCTGATAAGCTATCCGACAGGATGGTACAGCCATGGAGATGTCACGACGGTTGGCAACACAAGAGGACATTCAGGCAGGATTGAACGAAATACACAGTCTCGCGCCTTGCTCGAGATCTGCCCTCACCTAACGCAGGGATAAATCTCACCTAAGCAAGAGCAAGGTCCAACCTACTTTGTGCTCATGTGCCACCTTTTGATAACGCTAATTGAAAGTCAAATTAATTCTTGTTACTCACCCTTAAGATAAAAATAAAAAACAATAGTTCAAAAATTATTAGAGTAATAATACGTGTGCAGCAGCAGTGGAATGGATATCTACTTACTAAAGAGGGCAGAGATCCATTTTAATATTGGTTATTTTGTGTACATTAGAACTGGAACACACACTGATTCCTAACAATGTTTTAAAACCATCTGACTTTTACAGCCTAAGTTTAAGGCTCCCTAAGGTTCTCTGCGTCATTGCTGGGTTTGACATGAAATCTGTTCTCAGCTGGAATCTTTACTCTTCCCCCCCAGTCTTCTCCTTCATTGCCCACGGTGCTGTAATCAGTGGCAAACATCTGAGAAGAATTTATGGTAACAAGTATCACTGGCTAATTAACTTGCCTGTTTTGACCACAGAGCCATACTTCAAGCAAGTGATAAGCTTTCTACTTCCTTCTGCTAAGTAAGAAGATCTTAAGAAAAAAAAAAAAAGAACAAAGGGCTTCAGCACCATTTGTGCAGGAAGGATGAGTAAAGCGTGCAGTTCATGGGATTAAGGCTTAATAAAGAAACTAAACGTACAAAAGTGGAGAGGAAAAGAAACAGCTTAAAAAGACTGACACAAGAAATTCTGGAATGATCAAAGATGACTTTATAAAGTTTTATCTTAACTTCATTCTAAATATACAGAATAAAAAATGTCAGCTTCAGCATTTTGACATCCATCATCTCTGCTAACATCATGAAGTTTAGGAGGGTGGCTTTTCCAACCGAGAGCACGTGCAATGCCATGGGACGCGGGAGAATTCAAATGGAATAGCCTTACCATGAGGGACATGCAACAATTTGTATCCAATCTGTATTCATTTATATACATTTTCATGGTCTTGAAAGTTACGGAAAAAGCAAAACAGCCACCCTTCAAAATAAAAAATTACCCTTAGGTCAGTCTGAAGTTAAATCAGGAAATGGAGAGTATTAAATCATCAGTTTCGGAAGTAATTTGGATGGACAACATGTGTGTTAAACACCGTTTAACATCACCTTGTCCATCCTGTCTAATACAACTCAGACTTGTAAAGCATTTACACCTTACCTTAACATTTAAAGTTTGTCAATGAAACGTCTGCTCAAATATCCAAATTACTTTCAAAATTAAATAAAAACTTGTTAGAGTTCAAAACTGATGTTAAAAAGTTTTCCCCCATTTTGAATAATGCTGATTTTTAAATGTATGGAAAGATGTGTCATTTCTCCTGTCTGCTAAAACCCACTCCCAGGGTTTTTTTCCAAGCTCATTTGGTTTTTTCTTCAGAGTACATCTTCTGTTGCAGTCGTTTGGCATAGCTTTGGGCCATGGAGTTGATTATAGATAAGATAAAGTAACAAACCATGACAATCACCAATTTTTCAAACATCCACGATAGCCAGTTTTCCCCCTGAAGAGACAAAGACAACACAGAAGGGGAAAATGAAGATTAGTGGACAGCGCGGTGGGAGAATTCTCCATTTTCTGGGTGAAAGGGAAAAGCCTAACCATTTTTTTTACTATGTAATTTATCAAATTAAAACAGGAACCAAGGGCAAGCTGACAGGATTCCTGCAGGTCTCTGTAAAGCTGACTTTAGTCCCTTGAAAGACAGTGCAGGAGGGCTTGCCAGATGCACCACAGGGCAGATGATGAATCCTTGATCATTACTAGTGATTTATTATTCCTCGTGTTGCTTCGTCCTTGCTAACAATTCATAAAGTTCGGAATTAGCAACCCCTGACTGTCATTCCCTGTCATGTTCATTGCAAAGAAAACAATAAGGTCATTGGTTACCAGGGTTTTTTTTCCCTAAACTGCATATACTGTGTTATCTTCCAATTAGCATCCGATTCTGCTGGTGTCACTGGAAGTTAAAGTGCCACTTTGACTGTTTTCCATGGCTACTCTTAACTTGTATTTTTTTTTTGTCAAAGGAGGGCAGCAATGCACTGCACAAAAATTACTTCAATGTGCATAAAAGGAATCTGCATATTTAGTTATTCCAGCCTGATCCTCCCTAGTTTAGTCTCTTTTTTGGTAAGAAAGGGGCAAAGAAACATTCAGAAGAGCTGCAAGTATTGCATGTGAACTGTGAATTAGATTAATAGATTTTATCTTAAAATGCCTCAGTATCCTAAGGAATTTCATGTCAAAGTTGCCCTGTCTCCACTGAAAATTCAGGGCATGTTTTTAAAAATACCTTGTATGAAAGGACACTTCTGCCCCTTTGTACCGACTCCAAACACCGTATTTTTCTTTCCCTTTCGCTTCCAACACCAAAGGCTTGGGGATTTTGTTTCCCTCACTGACCATTAAGTCACAGATCCCACCGGCTTCTGAAGTATTGACACCATTTCACATGTAAATGTAACTTTTTTCCGCTTAAATCTCTTTCAAAATAGGCAGCTCAGAGGCAAGACGTGCCATTCGCCTTACTTTACTGTTTTCTTTACTCCCCAAGAGGTTTAAGTCCAATTGCGTACAATTACAGTATTATTTTTAATTCCCAGGTTGCTTTTAAAACGAGATTTTATCTCTTCCCTGGGCCACTGCAAGTCACTGAGAAACAGAATCACGAGTTGCATCGGTAAACCTGACAAGTCAAAAGGCAGCCAGAGAAGGGAAAAATTAATCGGGGAGGGAGGCAGAGAAGTTCTTACCTGTGGCACGCCACTGTCAGATTTGTGGTGAAGTTTTATCCTCTGAGCTTCCAAATATTCTTGAAATGGCTTCTGAAGAGAAGGACCTATACTTGGAATAGCACTGATGCAAGGTTCATCCCAGAGAACAAGACAAAACAGGGGAGGAAAAAAAAAAAAAACAAAAAAACATTTTTTTTTTTTTAAACTTACCACTTTGACCCAAACAGAACAAAGTTTGGACTGAGCTACAGCTCAGAAGGGCACTGCTACTTGGAGAGCAGAGAACCACGCAATAAAGTGTATTTCATCTTTTTCTCTGATACTTCTGCAAGGGACAGGTTCCCCCAGATCCTCAAAAAGTGCTTAGAAAGAAGGATGTTTCAGAGCAAACCAGCGACGGTGCACTGCTACGAGACGGAGAAGCTGGGAGCGGGAGCATTTCCGTGGAGCCCGGGAGCAGGGAGCTGGGGCTGCGCGCCGCGGCGGCGCTGCGAACGCAATGAATGACTTCTGCGAAGTCCCACATTTATCACCGGCAGTTCCTGTAAGAACTGGTTTGAACCGATTAATAAGGAAATGACTTGTGCTTGTGTCATCCCTCCGTTAAAAAAGAAACTGCTCGCCCTATGACTTGCCCCTACCTCCTCGGAGGAGCCGGCCCCTTTCTCCAACTAAGTCCTTATTAGGCCAATCTGTGCGTCATCCTCCCCAGGAGCGAGCGGGGCCGGCGCCTCCCCCGGGCCCGGGGAACAAAGGAACAGGGCGGGACCGTGAACCCCGGCCCGGATCGGGCCCCGCGTTATGGCAGACGACTTGCACAAA